TCTGGTATTTCGAAGTTGACAAACATATCGTTCAAAATTCCTGCATCTGCGACTCGCTTGCAGTGTGATTCTTCTTGAGAAGCGGCTTTCGTGCAGCCGGTCGCCTCGCCCTTCCCGATTGCAGATCGCGAATGAATGCACCACTCGGCCCTTCTGCGATCGCTCTTCTTGACTGCCCCTCAGCAGTTACAGCTATCAATAAACGTGAGACCAAAGTCCGAACCTATATATAGCTCTTTACTGTGACTGTAGTTTATTTAAAATTTTGACAGTACCGTGGTGAATGGACTACTTTTTAGGTAGATATAAGCTAATTTGTAAAGTGATCTGTAGTGATGACATATAAACCACAATTAGTTTTTGGACCTTACTAACGAAGCAAATGTTCGTCGAAAGAAACCGCTGGGGAGCCAACATAGTGAAATACTATGGCAATACATGAATAATACGAAGACTAGAAAACGAAATTCTTCATATGCATGACGTGACAATTCTTATATATTTCTACTGCTCAGCAATGTAGGCTTGAAAAATAAAAAATAGTGATGCCACAGAATAGCTTAGCTTTCCCGCATTTGTTTTTGTATTTCTTGGTCTCGCTACTATTCCAACTTGCCACACCTCTAAGCCTGCTGCCATCTATCCGTTGTCAAGTACATTTTAGAAATCCTTAATTTTTTTGTGGTGCGATTCTCTAATAGTAGAATGGCAATAATTATTTTAGAATATTAAAAAACAGTAAAACTAGTACTAAATGACTATTTTGTTATCTAATTCGTTTTTAGAAATGACGGTTAAGAGCTACAATAAGTCGTAATTTTTAAGCACTTTCAGTTTAAAAAAAAATTTTAGTTTGAAAAACTTTCATTTTTAAAGTTATTGAAGCATTTCAACTCACAAATACATAGTGTTACAATTTTTGAAATTACATTATTATAGGCGTGAAAGATTTTTCAAAAAATTACATTTGCTGTAATTAAAAAAAAAACAACCTGAAATGTACTTTCGTATATTAATGAGTGAATTATCACTATCCTTCGAAACGTTCTGACCGTTTTGTGAGAAAATTGGCGTTGAGCGTTTCTGAAAATGAGAATGATGAGCTGTTTGATAGAAAGTGGATGAGAAACTTTATGATGACCTTATTTTAAAGCGGCATGTAGTCGTAAATGTAATAAGATCAAATCGTCGCTAATAATAAATATTAACGACGTGAGATAAGAAGTAAAAAATCAATTTATTGGAATTTTGAAAAAACAAAAAGAATAGAGCAATTATGGCGGTTATGTCATCTCATAGATTGTATTAGCACTATCACTACCAAAAGTTAAAAAAAAGTTTGAAGCGGTTTGAGAAAATCTATTGTTTTGCAGATTTTTAAAAATTTCACAAATTGCACGCAATATTGCACGAATACTACAAAAGTTTCAAGAAATGTCACATCACCTTCATGAAAGAACATCACTATCGAGACAAAGTTTATTTGAAAGAAAAAATCCGGCTATTTTTAATTATTGTGGGTTGAAGAAGACGCCGGAAAAAATCAACTTTTGAAATCATCGGAAAATTCGACTTGGAATTATCGAAAGAGTAACCGTAAAAATTGGACCTAAACTGCCACTTTTGTAAGTGTATTTTATCTATTCTTCGAAAGAATTAAGAAAAGATTGAGTCATTTTTTGAGAAATTTTAAATATTTCAGGGGTTTCATGTAATGTACCCCCAAAACTAAATGACATGATTTCAAAATCGCAGAGCTTCGACTCGGGCCACACTACACTGACGTGCGTTGGTAAAGGTGAGTGTGTGTGAAGGAGAGAAGCGACATGACGAGGAACAGAAGCATTTGTCGCTACTCCTGGTTCAGTGGTCTTTGGATCCTGCTCAGGCGTTCGCTTGCAGTATTAATCACAGCAGCACGGAAGTTGCAATGAACGCATCCGTCCGCTAGAACTCCTCAGTTCAATTCATGCCTTATTTCACAATTTAATTCAAATTATGTCTCTTGTTTCGCCGAGGCTCGGGCCACGAGCCCGCTCTTCGACCGACCGCGCAAAGCCGCATGCGCCTTTCCCCAATGCAGGAAGAGGGTCTCGCTAGGCGAGGAAAACAGGCCAATTTGAATTGTTCGTCAGAGCTTACGAAGGATATTTTCGCCCCTAAAAATTCCAAGCTCGATACAGCTCGATCGACGCTGCACCACGAAGCCCTATCACAAAGTGAGAATTCCTCGAGCCAGTGGTGGAATTCGCGTTCTCAGCTCTGCAGCTGGTGCCGAAAAGTCAGCCATCATCAGACTCGCACCCTAGGGACCTCCCATCGGCAGCACTGCCACTGGTGGCCGGAGCCACGCCCACTGCACTGGTGGCGGAGCGGGGCGCAATCAGCGGAGTGTCTCCGGGCCGCAGGCCCTGCGTCGCCAATATCGGCCGCAGTTAGGGCGCGCCAGCGGGGCGGGGCGGGGCGGGGGGGGGCGACTCTACGCAACGCCTCGGAGGGTGCGGAGGACCGCCCCGGCCGACGCCCTCGCCCCACACAGACAACGCTCCCCGCGCCCGCCCCACCGCCCCGCCCCTCTCGCACTCACCACAAAAAAATGCTCCGCTCCTCTTTGCTCTACCCCGGCCTCGCCCCGCCCCGCGCCGCCCCGCGCCGCCCGCCAGCACGCGTCCGCGGAAGTTGATGTCAGAGGCGCGGCCGCAGCCAGCGCGCCTGGAGGTCATCCCCCGCGGCGTAAGACGTCGCCCCCGCCCCTTCGCCCCGGCCCCGCCCCGCCCCTGCCGCCCCTCGCCCGCAGGACGGCGTGGGCGCGGCGGAGGCCGCGCCGCGCCGCGCGCCGGGGCGTGGGCGGCGCGCGCGGATTCACGCGGGAAGCGCGGAGACGCTATTGGATTCGCCCCGGAAGATAACGAACACGTTATGGGCCTTTCTGGATCCTTTAGCGCACCCTTCCATACCTGGACCTCAGCCACGAAGTGGATGTCTTGTGTACAAAAGAATTTCATGCAACGTCCGTAGTTTTTACTGCCCATTTTGCTTCTCTTTGAAAAACGCCCACATTTATATCGATTGGTATTTTCTTACTACTTTCCCATTTCGCTTATAATATAACTAAAACCTTGTTGTGTTTCCCGTAGAAAGTGTTTTCGTAATTTGCCAAGTCCGTCGCAGTATGAATAATGAATATGAAGTTGATTCCCAAGGCGCGGGAGGCGTCGAGCAATTGTGTCGGGCGAACGCCTTGCCGGAGCCTCAGGCGCTCTCCGCAGCTGCGCCGCCGCCCACCGCCGCCCGCGAGCGCCCCGCGTCAAGGCGGCGGGCGAAGGGGTTGCGGCTGAAACCCCTGCTCCTCGCGTCGCGAGAGCAAATGCCGCCTTCTAGGGCTTGGTCCCACCGGCAGCTGGTTGCCCTTTACGTCTCGATGGGACGCACATTCGACAACACACTAGACACCAACACACTCGCGGGCTCCTCTGAGCTGGGGTCAGTAGAACGCGAGATGCATACATGAGAGACAAGCAGCCATGCGCAAGGCGGGACTCGAACCCGCCATCCTTCTGACCGCAGCGCTGAGTCGGTGCACGCTCTAGCCACTTCGGCCTTCCGGGTCGGCCGCTTTCTTTTTGCATCCCTTTAGTTGAGCGATTCCCAATCCTTTTCTCTCATCCACCTCTTTCAAACGAATTGATCGTTACATTGACCTCCTTATGTGTTCTCTGTATTTTACGGCATCCGTAAGCATAGTTCAAAAATTGCGTAGAATGGCATTAAAGATAACAATATTATACACCAAACCTTCTCCAAGTATATTGATTTTCAGTATTTGAAGAGACTTCCGATTTCGAGTAACTGGGCTTATAATCTTCGTCGAAATTAATTTCTTACAAAACATATAATGTTTTTTAAGAACCGGCCAACACATTTTTCCAGTCCATTTAACGATGAGCATTTTCTTACGATATCGAACATCGTTGTTAATGTTGAGTTATAATTTCTTGGATTTTCTAAATATCTTAATTACTAAGGATCAACGAAAGCAGAGGACGAATTTGTAATTTATCGTACGTTTTTTTGCTTTATATCAGAAAAAAATAATTAAATTCATTAATATTTTTTGTAATCAGTGGGATCTTGATCTCCCTGATGAGGCGCCGGTTCATATTCTGCTATTGACCCCAATCGACCCATTGATCCACATTGACCCCCAGGGGGTGTATACCGACTCCGTTGGGGACCCCTGCTTTACTTCGTATGGTGCCTTGGTTTATATGAGCGCGATGGAAGAATCGTGAAGCGATTGGGGTCTGTGGATCAACATGTTCCAATACTGTGGCCCTGTGAGGGTTACTGAGCACCCTGCTCCTTTCGCATCTTCCCCAACGAAGGGCGAAGGGCTGTCGCCATCTGCTCTCTCTCCTTAGAGAAATTCTCGCGGCAGGTGTTTCCGAACGGTATTTTTCCGTCGTCGCTCCAGGCGAATGCTGAAGCGCGCAGGATCTTTTCTTCCTCTTCCACATCCCATCCCTTACAAACACACAGCTAGACGGATCGGGAACAGTTCTACACTCGGGAGATGTGTGATTGTGTAGTAGGAGATGGTGTTTAAGAAAGGGGAGAGAAGGGAACAAGGAAGAGGAAGAGAATATTGCGCGCAGCCTGCTTCCCGTTTGTTTGGGCACTGCTCCGGCATTCGTCGGGTTTTGAACGGAAAAATCGCCGAAATTTTAGTTTCAGCTGTTGCATCTAATCCAAGGTTCATGTGTCGCCTATTAGCGTCATTGTCGGTTCGTTCGATTTTGCAATAATTAAAAACTGAGATTTTCTTGTAAAGAACAATCGAAACTAAAAGTTTGCAGTCTTAATTCACTTACTTGTAGGAAAAAATAAGCTTCGATAAGTAACATACTCAACAGCTTGAGTTGTTCATCTGAACTGGTTTTTTATTTTCATCACTTTTCTTTGCTTTCAGGGTATTTTAAACCATTTTTTTGTTATTTACGTTGGTAAACACGCACTTAGTCTCTTAGCAACCAACCATCTAAACAACGCTTCGAGGGGCGAGTCCATAACGACCATTAAAAAGCTCGAGAGTTCATTAAAATTATTTTAGTGGACTTTCGAGTTTTGATTTTATCGGTGCTCATAATTCTTGGGATACATATGACGTTGACACAAAACACAATTTTGGGGAATAAATGTAAACAACATTTATTGGTTATGAAAATCCGACTTCTAGTTCACACTTTATTTTACGCATCAGACCTGCTCTCCCGACTGACCATGCAAATTTCCTTTCACAATTTATCGGAGAAAGAAGGTATCACACGGGCTACAAAACAGACAATTTGAATTTAGCTCAAAGGCATCTTTTATGCTTGAGGTTCTTTTACATGCAGTAAATGTACAAAATGGGGCAGTCGGCTTTACTTCCCCTCCGAAGGAAGGCGTACGAATGATTATATCGCTTCAATCGTTTGAACCCGCGATCATGGGTATAAGAGCCCGGCTCGCTAACCGTTTTACCACTGAAGCCTCAAAGCTGCCAATGAGCAGGCTTGGGACTCTTTTACATGCAGTAAATCTACATGGGACACCTGATTTTACTTCGCCTTCGAAGGAAGGGACCTCAAACGTGGATACAAGAGCCCGATACGCTGACTGTTCTACGAGCGACGCCACAACGCTGTCCCTGAGCACCCGCAGCCGGTCCGCGCGTGCGCGCGTGCGCCGGGAGGGGAGGAGGGGGGCGGGGGAGGCGTTTTTTCGGGCGGCCGCGCCTTGGCCGCCCCCAGCGCGCGCCTGACCTTTGCCGCCCGTGGGAACCGCCCGACGCGGCGCTGCGCGGCGCCGCGGCGCAGCTGCGCGTGACGTCACCCGCAGGGGGAGGGGCGCGGCCCGGGCTCAGGGTGGGCTCGAACTGGCGCCCTCCAGCCCGCTCGCGCCATCTGTGGCCTCTCCGGGACCCGCCCGCGCCTCTTGCAGCTGCCGGAATTGCAGAGTCCTGCCACAGTTTCGTATGAACCCTCCGGACCATTCTTCAAGGATTGGAGGGCTTGGGTAGTGACAATATAAGCCAGAATAACAACAGTGCGATTCCGGCGATTCGTAAAATGAAGCGTGCGCTACTTTGCCATTGTACCTCACTTTCTTCTTCGTAAGTAAGAACAAGACTTGTAATAGAAACAAGATAGCCACACTTCCACCAAATTCGAGTTATTAACATTTACAAAGCTGGAGACGTGCTGTGGCTTGTCTTGTTAGTGACCCCAAGCCCTTCAACTGTTGATTGGAAGCTACCTCTAGCATTGGTCCAAGGCGCTTGTTTACACCCGTGAATTTAGTTTCTCGCTCATGATGCCTTGAGTCTGCATGAACTTGATGCGTGGAGTCTGGAAGCGAGCACGTGAGTGGCCCTGGACACCTGCAGAGGGGCGGGGGCGGCGCCCACTGCCCCATTTCGCCCGCGTGCTGGCGCTGCTCCAGGGCGCCCCGCCGCCCACTCGCCCCCGGCGCGCTTCCTTTGTTCACCGGCTCTCTCCTCAGCCACTCGTTCCGGGAGGGCTCCTAGTGTTCGAGTTCCGATGGACGCGAATTTCCGACGACTAGACTGAATTCTAGATCCAAGCGCTGCCTAGAGGAAAGTTCTAGCGATTGGATATTCTCAGCGGGTGTTGTCCGTAGTTTGTCCCATCCGTTCCAGGCGAATGTTGGAGTGTACCCAAACGAATGCTGACCGTCCGCGCGCGCTCTTTCCGTTCTCTTCCTTGCCCTGTTCTCACCCTTCTCTTACACTAACACGCACTTCACTAGTACACTCGTCGGGAATCCTCTTGGGAGATTGGAGCTTGTCCCGGCTTGGCTGAGGTCCCGCTGGGGGACATGCTTGGACCAATGACCATAGCAGTTGTCGCGCCAGGAAACATCAATTAATCACGCAATCTTTCTGTGCCAACTGTTGAACTAGAACTGTTCGAAGGTTATTTTTGTAAATTGATAATCCATTGATTCACTTTGCTCCAAATATCATAAATTCCCTTGAGTAGATAACTTTCCAAAAGAAGTTTAGGTTTAGCACACTTTTATTTGAAAGTGTTGTAAATTTTTTGGGGGAGAAATTTGGTTTAAATCCATATTTTAAGTTAATATACGAATACCTTACATTTATAAATGTGAAATTACAAACTGATCATAAAGCATTGAAAATTGCGAGAGCTAACCGAAATATTTGTGGTTGAATCTTAGGAAATGCTGTTAATCTGTCGTGAGAATCATTTCGCGTATTTTATTTTACTCCAAATTAAAAGGTTTACGTTACGTACCGTTCTTCTAATGATATTATCATTGGGATATCAGTTGTTTAGCAGCTACTTTGATAATACCATTAACGTACCACGCTATTCGCTACCGATGGGCAGTATTACACGTGGTCTGACGTGGAATCTCTCCCCACCCCGCGTCGTCGTGATGTGAGCGATCGCTTTCTGTCTCCGAAGGACGCGCGTGGGGCGAAGTGGGCAGGGAACTTGAACGCGCGAACGAGCGCCGAACCGCCTCCTTCTACCTGTCCCCCCCCCCCGGACAGCCTCCCGCCTCGAGGACCCGTGCGGGGACCCAAGCGGTCTCCGGCCCGAGGCATCCGCGCTTTGGGTGGCGAGTGGGCGTAGGAGATGTGCTTTGAAAGAACATTACTTAAACGTTCTAATTCTTTCCATTGGTCTTTACTGTTAGAAAGGAAGTAAACTAGAAATACAATAACGAAACTACAAACGAAATATGTAGCCATTAAAAAGAAGCAATTAAAACGAAACAAAACTTGTACTAACCTTCGTGCATTAAAATAAGTATATAACATTTTTATATTTAAATTGTGAATATAAAATATGTTATTTACTCAAGTTATTTGGTTAGCTTATCCATTTAATGTATATATTTGTATGTAATAATTGTATACATTTCTAATGTTTAGTTTCTGGCACGAAACTACTTCTTATTTTATTGCCATACTCTTATTAGTGAATAGGTCAGTCTCCAG